GGTGAGATGGGTGTTGTATAAATTTGATAAATTGGAAGAATTGTGTTTATATTGCGCACCTCCACATTACAATGCCATTTCCAGTACCGTAAAGCTCATGTTCCCATTATACAGCATTTGTAGTGATTATTCAGAATGAATTACTCCTAATACTAAAGAAGAAACATGAATAACATACGTAGTGCATTTTGCAGAAACATTTGTTGATATCTTTTAGTGTAGAAAGAATAACTTGTTGCTTGGATATTGTCCAAGATTTTATATATAACATAAAATGAAACAAATTCTTTCCCCGCTTTTAAATCAATTATTTCAGAACTATCTCCCATTTAATTTCCATCTTTTTTTGCCCCAGCTTTAGATCTTGTTTACTCTTGTTTACTTATAACATTCAGAAGCTCACCAAGGTTATATTAATAGTTTTACCATGCTTAAGAATGAATAACAATGAAATCAAATCTTAAGAAACCAATTATAGTATATAAACATTTAATTTGGAAGGTGGAATTTAGCATCTCTGAATCTGCAGATTTCTTCATGTTTGGTGGGCAAACTGTCAGAATACTTACATTCTTGAGCTCGCACAGTAGTATTTGCAACTGACATGATTTCAGAAAGGGCACATTTCACTGACAGCATTTAACAACTGATAGTATGTGTTTATTCATGCACACACAACATCCTGTTTTGTCTTTCAGATCTGGATCTCTGTGCAACCCTATTGAGCATAGTTTGAGATCTTCTGAAATTTACACAAATGGATGAGGCCCATGTTGGCAGTCCTTTAATGGGATTTCATGAAGGAAGAGATCCTAAATCTCACAGATAATCTCTCTCAATTTGTGCCAAAACATTCATTCAAAAATAGCAAGAGGTAGATTCTTAGCTATATCAGTCTTAATTGCTCCTTTATATTGATAAAAAACATTGGTAAAATGAAAAGGAAGACACAAATTCATTTTACATAATTAGAACACCCATAACAGGAGCTTTTATGATTTTTCATAAGAAAAATCATCCTAGGTAAACTGCCAATACGAAGCATCACATTTTGAATATTTAAGTGTTTGTAGCACTTTCAACATTCATTTATAATTTAAGCAGGACACATTTGCCAAAAATATAAAAATAACTTACCAATATTGTGACATAACAAATGTGAGAAGTTGAAAATACAGTTTTACCTCATACAGAATAAGCATATACTCATGTCTAAAATTTTTAATTGTTCAGGAGTAGAAAAGTGAAAATGCAAAAAAATAAAAAAAGATTTTTTAAAATATCTTCCTGCATACGCATGAAACAGCAGTCTTGCAATTCCTTGCTGCCTCTTTAATTTTTTTCCCTCCGGCAACTCTGTTTGCTTATGAGGTAATTTATGGAGAGAGAGAAAAATCTAGTGAAGCTTGTCTACTTATCCTTCTTTCTTCAGTGAGATTCCTCTACTATATTCAATGCCATCTGTTCATTATGTGCAAAGAAATTGTTCTGTTCAAAGAATTTAGATCCATAATTGACTGACCATCACTGAAAAAACACCCTTGCTATCATTATTCAAATGTTATTGAAGTAGCCCATGATAAATTTTTAAACACCATTACAGTGCTCACCTTGCAGCACTACCTATAAACCAGACATCTTTGTCTTTTATTTTCCTTGGTTCAGAAAACTACTAAAAACAAGGAATGCAAGAGGAATCAGGGCCCAGTAAAATCAGAAAACATTGTAACTAATTTTTCATTTTCAAATACTTTTGCTTTCCAAAGTGGATCCACGTCAACAAAATGTATCCTGCTTTGAGAAACTACAGATTCCTATAGCATGATGTTGTGTATTCCCAGGGAAACAGTGACCAAAATGCAAATAAAATTCAAGTTTACTGATTTCAACCCATTTGAATTTCAGAAAAGAAATCATGCATTGTCAAAGAAAACCTGTCCCATAACAGCTAGTTTTGAGTTGAATGGTTGACTGGGGCAGCTCAGTAACGGGACCATCCTTTTTTCTTTCTGGTCTGAGCCTACTTGTCTCTTGTAATCTTCAGAGGAAATATCAGTAGAATCTTTTTGTCTTTTTCCCATTTTACCTGAAGTTCTTATGAAAGTGAACTTCTTACTCTTATTCAAAGAGTAGACTTCCCTCATTAAGTTTTCAACTTCCCATTGGTCTTCTTTTTGATTCCGGCAACAGTGGAGGGCAGCAGGATCTATAGGATGGGCTTCTGTGTTGAAAATATATCCCCCAGCATCAAGAATACATTCTCCATATGGTGTCAGTAAGACATCAAAGGATGATCCATTGTTATGAATGAAGTTGTCACGATCAAACAATAGATACAGATATTTCACTGTTTCAGCCAAGAAGAAGGACTCCATACGGTTATCTAATTTGTGATCTCTTAGGTCTTTGATCTTTAAAATAAAAGCAAAGAAGTGGTTATGTTGAGATGTGAAAACTTGCCATATAGCACTAGCATATTCCCAACTGATTGAAGTTGGATTAATGGCAAATTTCTGGGGCAATTCTGGTATTTCTACAATAGAATCAGAATTCAAACTGCTTACATACTATAGAATAAGCAAGAAGATGCTTTTGTTGGTAACAAGGAAGACTTGCAAGGAATAAACTGACCCCCAATATTCCCACCCTACCAAAAAAAAAAAAAGTTTGGGAGAAACACTTAACTGTTGCAAAGCCACATTCAACTTTGCTGATTTTTTCTATTGACTCCACCACATCTCTGCCCAGCTCTAAAAGTGTTGGATCTTGTGTAGCACGATACAGATACATTGCGCTCTCTATTAGTTCTGCAAAGCCACAGACAAAAGAAATGAATATTTCCTGAATATGCACGTACTGAATGTAATAAATATAATAGCCAGTTTGGTACAGTGGTTAAAATGCTGGCCTAGAAACCAGGAGATTGTGAGTTCCAGTACTGCCTTAGAGGCATGAAAGCTGGTTGGGTGGCTTTTGGGCAGTTAATCTTTCTCAGCCCAACTCACCTCACAGAATTGTTTTTGTGGGGAAAATAGGATGAGGACCAGTATTATGTATGTTTGCTGCTTTGAATTACTTATAAAATAGTAAAAGCAGGATAAAAAAACCCCTAAATAACAACAATAGTATATAATGCCCCAAATATTAATTGCTCAGTCTTATAAACACAATTCAACACAAAACTATTCAATATAGTACTTTCTTACTAGCTTAAGCTTGATATAAAGGAGCATATTTTCATTTATGCACATTTCACTTGTTATTCTGTATAAGTGAAAAGCTGTTGTTTAGCTACCTTGAGCCAGAATAGAGAATAAATTTATTTGAACCATTTGGGCTTTGAGCCACTTAAAAGTAAAGTATAGCACCAATATTATGGACTAAGTCAAATCAGGTTAGTACTCTATGGGGATTTACCCAGAAATTCCAGAGCTATTGACTAGATTCATAAATTTAAAAAAAGCATTCTAGAGGAAGGTAGTAAACAATTTCTGCATTACTGCCAAAAAATGTCCATATTGTCACCAAGGAGTGGAGGCTAATTTGAGGAAGACTTGGCTTTTTACTGTAAGACGACCAAGGCACATTGCAAAAGGACTTCTGATATGTTCATATTTACCAGGTCGAAGTGGGTATCCCTCACGCTTTTCCACTGTGTAGCCCTGGGGGATATTGTAGAACTCAGGCAGCCCACCAAACTGTTTCCAAACAGTGTAATAATTGAGAAATGTTCGCATTGCACTATCTATGTCTCCAATAAGGCTCTGGGAAAAACAATTATGTAATATATATTTTTTTCTTTTAGCAAATAATACAACTACACATTAGGATCTCCCAAGATGATAAATGATGGCATTAGAAAGCAAATTAGGATTTTTAAAAAGTGTCAAAAGACATACAGTACTTAGATAGTTGGGTTTAACAGTTTTTTAAAAATAATTTATTTCTATCCAAGAATACTTTCACTGGATTCTTCATGAGAAAAGCGGGGCACACTTTGGTAGAAAGGCAACAGACATCTGGCATTATAATTGTAAAATTAAAATTATATTTAATATTTATGTTTAGGATGAGATGACTCAATTTATATTTAAAACACAATCTATAGCATCAGACACTCTAATAAAAATTATACATATATATTTTAACTATGATAATGAATTTTAGAGCAATCATTACCTGTAAACCAGGCCAGAAAGCCTCCAAAGATTGAAAAACTGGCATTGAGACAGTTCCTTTGTACATTTGAACCCACAAATACCAATCATCAAATTTTGTGTAGTTTTTTATAGCTTTGTTATAATCTAAAGTGAAAGGAAAGGTAAAACCAATGACAACTGTTGGGTTTGAAATTAAGTTTCAGAAGTGAAAACTCTTTCATATTCTCCATTCATACATATTCTAATTTCTATTTGAATTTCTAGTAACATCTAATAAATATTTTATTGTACATCTTTTCAAATTTATCTTTTGATAAAATGTAATATATATTGAATATTTAATGTATTATTTTCCTTTTATGCTTAAACAAAAGAACAGTAGCATAAAGATCCAAAATTAGTATAAATGCTGCTCACTACCCAGAAATTTTCAAGACAGATGCTATTCCAGAAAGAAAAGGACAAAACATAAGGTATCTTTAAAGCTGATATATGTAACCAAGATCAGGTTAACTATATAGTGAATGTAGCTATTTGTCTCACTGCTGTTTATGTACATAAATCTTATCTAAGATATCTTGCAAGACGTTAAGGCAGGTACAGGTTCACAATTACTGTATCTACACATTAGCATTGAATGTTTAAAAGGTTTAGATGGCCAATAATTGGGAGATAGGGAAAGAAGATCGGAAAATTAAGAAAATGCCATCTGGTTTTGAGTGACTAAGGTATAATGAGAAACATATAACAGATATATACTTTTCCTAGAAGTTTTGTCTTTGGTTTCTTAACCCATATTAAGTGTATAGATCATGGGTTGGCAACCCATGGCTCCGGAGCCGGATGTGGCTCTTTGAGCCTTCTCCTGCAGCTCCCAGTCCTCCTCCGCCATTTGCAGAGAGAGAGAGACAGAGGCACTTGTGCTTCCCTTCCCTTCTCCCCCCCCCCTCTCTTTTACACACACACACTAGTGTATATTCATACACATATACACTAAGGAAATTCTGGGTTTGTAGGAGATATTTCTAATGCATTTATGAAAGATTATTGCTCTCTCTCTCTCTCTCTGTGCGTGCATGTGTGTGTGTGTGTGTGTAAAAAAGAGAGTGGCCTCACACTGTTCTCTGACAAGCTTATTGGGCGGGGCTCCTGCCTTTGCTGCGTCTCTGCAGGAAGCAGCAGAAAGCAGCAGCTCTCTCTCTCTCTCTCTCTCTCACACACACACACACACACTCACACTGAGTGGGGGAAGAGGACTGGCAGACCAAGGGCAGGAGAGAGCCAGCCCAATAAGAATGTGTGTCAGCTTGTCGGAGAACAGTGTGAGGCCAGCTGACAGCAGCCTCTATTTCTTTTTAATTAAACTCTTTCAATCAAGCCCCCTCCTCCGGTGCGCGCGCAAGTTTTACGGCTCCCAGTATTTTCTGTTCCGTGGGAAACGGGTCCAAGTGGCTCTTTGAGTGTTTAAGGTTGACGATCCCTGGTATAGATAAACTGAAGTACATATCACACAACCATAGGAACTTACCTAGAAACATGGACATCAACTCCTCATCCTGCAGCAGAATGGCTCCTTTAACAAGGTATTCAAAATAGGAATCTACTCCTGCTCCAATCCCAGCATCCTGGGCTACCCACTTGGCAGTTATCACATCAATGTGATTACCTACCTGAGAGGGAAAAACTCAAGTTATTAAAGGTTCTGGCTAAGATTGCATTTCCTTTCCATTCAACAAAAGTTGTTTTGCTAATCAATGCAAGCTTAATATATATATTTAAACAGCATTTTCATTGTGCCATTGTAACTGTTAAGAATTAAATCTTGGTTTAGAATCTTGGGTTAAAATCTTATCGATTTTAAATGTCTTCTCTTTAGCTTCATTTTACAAAAGTACATTGTAAAAGAATATGCTCAGTCTAGGAATTCTTTGGGATAAACTGATGCTTCAGTACAGATTTCACTAATAACCATTTTAAATTCTGCATTATATTAATTTTCAAGGAAACTATGCATATCAGAAACAAATAGAATCAGAAAAGATGATTTAATTCCTGAGAAAATTAAAGCTAATTTGTAAGAATGTGATGAAATGATTTTTGACAATATCAGTTTTTCAAGTTTTCTTTTAATGAAATTGTCTGGATGAATTAACAGAATATAATAGTTTTTCCCCCCAATTTCAGTAATTAAGATATGACATACTCCAGCCAGGCAATTAAAAAAACAACTCAAACTATTCTAATGAACAATTACTATAAAGTTGCCCATACTATTATTTCTTTGCTTTTGATATAGGCCAACTTTCCTATATATGGTCACGCTCTAGATATGATCTATGATCCAATCATGCATTAGCTATGCAAATTAGGATAATAGGAGTTATAGACTATGTCTGAAAAGAACCTGGTTGGGAAGGTCTGACCATGTGATTTGGGGGCAAAAAACATCTTCTGTACTGTGCAATCCCCTAATTTTAGAGGAGGAGTAACTAAAGAAGCTTGAGTGGAGATGACATTACAGGGTTTTTTTAAATGAAAAGTAAAAATATTCTTATTTTTATTTAATCAGCATTTTAAATTTGTTTTATTATGATTTATTTGTCCTGAAGTTTTATGCTATTTGAAGAATGTTCAAAGAATAATGTTTTATTATTAGAATAAAATCCTGATTTAACAAACTTCCATTTAATAGATTTTGGATGCAACCAATTACAAATAATTCTGGACATCTCAAAATCATGTACAGATCAATTGTATCTGATGATGCCCAGCAGAAGCAATTAAATTTATATTAATTTTACAACAGTCGCAGTTATTTATCTCATTTTTACATATAAGATTATGTAAATGACACAAAATGCCTCATTTGCATCAGTTCACATTTGTGTAATGTCATTACAGAAATAATATAAAGCACAGTGATAATATACTTTTCTTATTTTGGGGAATATTAGGAATATTATCCTTTTCTCTTCAGAAAAGGAATAGCTGACTCATTTTCCCCAGATGATCCATTAAAATGAGGCCTAGTTGTATATTGTACACTTACTACTTTACAAAGCTTAAAAATCTAACAAAGCCTAAAAAATCTATTCTCTGAAGGGATCTTTAGATACAATACTTAGTACTATATTTGCAGAATTTCACCATGGTAAATTTATCTAAATGCTAGACCAGGGGCCTCCAACCTTTTGGGCACCAGGGACCAGTTCAATGAGAGAGATTTTTCTGTAGATTGGAGGGGATGTGGTTTCACATTCTGCCTTCATCCTGTGGAAGGGGCTTCCTTGTTTGTGTGGCCCGGTTTCTGGCATGTCGCGATCCTGTGTCAGTCCACAGACCAGGGTTGGGGACCTTTGTGCTAGATCTTTGTTTAGATTAAGCTACAAATAATGGACTGAAATGAAATGGGGCTTTCTACTCACCAAGCCAATTTCAGAACGATTTTTCCAGAGGGTCTTAAGAGCCTTTCTGGCAACATCTTCAAATACCGTATCCCCTGTAAGATAACTTAAGGTAGCAAATTCCACTATAAATGTACCAATCCCAGCAGTACAAGTAACTGGTGTCTCTCCAGGATTTACTCCATGTAGTAAATTTACTGTTCCATATGGCATTCCAGTTGGAGTCTGAAAGGCTTCAAAACAAAGTTTTGAATATTATTAAATATTTACAGGGGTTGAAAAAGTATTATCAAGGCCAACTTTCTACCCTATAAATGCACCACAATATGTTTTATAAAGCAACACATTGGCTCAAATTATACGGGCTGCTATTAATCAAGGCAGCATGGACTCTATGTTTTCAAAGATACAGAAGCCAGTAATCTGTTTCTGGTATAAAACTGTCCCTTCCTTTCACTAAAAGAAAGCCAAGGCAGGTTTTAGTTTCCACAACAAATTAGACGAATTAAATGTAAAATATTCACACAAATTAGTGGTTTCTGTATGTGGGGATAACTATTTTTCTCCAAAATGAACATTTATGTATTTATCCATTACTTTAACTGCTACTACGATACAGTCAAGGATTTGATATCACTGGAGGTAAATATTTGCAGAATGTTTTTTAATTCCCTTTTTGGAAAGTTATTTAAGTAACAATACTGTTATCTTGACCCACTTTCCACCAAGGTTCAACAAAGCTATTTTAGCTTTGACTGGGGTTGAATGCAGCTGATGAGTTGCCCACTCTGGTGATTGATACTTTTTAATCACTATTATAGAGTTACTCTAGAGCAGGATTGAAAGAACAGACTTGATACGCAACACTACTGTACAACTATTTAACCCATTTATAAACCTAGCAGATATGTCAGTCCATGTCAACTTTTAGTAACATTTTTTTCCAGTATACGTCAGGGCCACAATTCTTGATTTTCAAACAATGACATGGCCATCTCTTTCTATTTGGTATCTAGTGAACTACTGGGAAACTTTAGGAATTTCTAGTACGTATTACAACTCTATTCTATTCATGTGGCATGTAGCCTACTACGGGTGTATGTGTGTGTGGGAAACACAAGAAATAAGCTTCAGCAAGAATGCTCACCTGGCAAAAGTTTTCGAGCAGCATCTTCTGCCATCCTCAAGAGGGGACCAGAACATGGCCATCCTGCTTCTACTTTAACACCAGCCTTCTTTGACAGCAAATGAGCAGATAAGAGGCCGCCAACCACTACAAATGCAGATCAAGCTTATTTAGAAACAATGGATTGTGTCAATGACAAAGGATATACATACAGCTGACTTTCAGTTTTGTCATGGCCAAAGAGGCACTGAGGCCTGCAAATGTCCCCCGCTTTTCAATAAAGATAGAAGAGCAAGGCATTCAATTCTACTTTTCTGAAGTGATACTATAACTTTTAACTCTGCAACAATTTTTCCTTTGATCACTGCAAAGGAAATTTTTATGAAAAAATTGCCATTTCATTATGCTTACTCATTTCAAAAGCCACAAATGAAGAACAAACATTTTGAAAAATCAGACAAATGTAAAAGCAATTTACTAGATTACACCAAAGATTTCTAACAGGCGTCATTTTCTAACTTTGTATGTTCCATATGTGCTGGAATTTTTCTCTCAGAATCCAATAGCTGTGCTGGCTAACGATTATAGAAACTGACTCTAAAATATCTGATAGCCACCAAGTTTGAGAAGGCTGCTGGATGTTTATGGCAGGAGATGAAAACTAGTCTTTTCCTGCTCTTAGTATAGGAAGTTTTAGAATCTTCTTTTAGAACCCATATTGCAATTCAGACATAATCCACATTACCTTGCAAGATTCTTTGTCAACTCACCTCTGATATTGGTTTCAAAGACAGAAGCATTTACATCAATATCAAAATTTATACCCTCCTGCAATACACTAACAACTCGCTGGAATTCAGACACATTCCCCAAAATCTGAAAAAAAATAATGATTCGTAAAATATAATCTTATTAAAGGATAAGGAAACATTACAAGATACAAAACACTGCATAGCCATAAGCCATCTTTTCATACTCCTGTGTGATGAGCAGGGATTGAATGTGGCTTTTAACTCCTTCATGCCTTCTGGATGTGAACTTTCAAGATGTATGGAAAATGCATCATTCTTAATCTCCCAAATGGAGAAACAGAAACAGAAACAACAAGCATGGAGAACAAAAGCTATTCTTTGTTATTCAAGGATATGCATAGAAAATTAATGAAAACGAATGAATAATGATAATGAAGTCATTATCAATACTTACTAGTAGTGTATCCAGAGCATCAATCAATGTGAGAGAAAAACTGAAAAAGAAACCATGAGAAAAAAAAGCAATGGCTTGAGGGAAGGGGACATATACATAACATGATATACACACATTTTAATCTTAGCTATTGTCAGAAAAACAATCCACATGTTGTTGCATGAATAAATTTTGGACAGTTTCAATCTGCTCAACTTTCCAAATAAGAAATCATAGAACAATTTCTCTGAGATTACCTCACAATAAAATATGTTTTTTACGTAACATTCATGTATGAAATTATACATTTGAAGAAATTGTCACGAGTCAATGCATTACGGGGGGACTCACTTTATAAACAAATACTATAGGTTCACTGCACAAAAAGCCTGGAATAGCTGGCTTGGACACTTAGGTGTCCAAGCCAACTATTCCAGCCTTTTTATGCAGGATTTTGTGCGTGACAGGCTCAAAAGGCCTTTATATAACGAATGTCATATTCACAGATAATCTCAACCACCTACGCTGCTTCTGCTTTATTGGATTTATATATCATCTTTCTTTCATGACCCAGTACAGTCCTACAGAAAGGGCATATGTAATACCCTCTCCAATTTTTCCCCAAATATCCTGTGAGGGAGGTTAGCCTGAGAGAGTGAATGGCACAAGATCAACCAGTAAGCTTCCATGGCTTAGGGTGGATTTAAACCTGGCTCTTTCTAATCCACTCCACCAGAGCTACTATTAATGAGATGCTCTCTTGTTTTCATTGTGGTTCTATGTGGTTCTTGGCTTAATATCAGCTTCCCCTAACTTAGATTTTTCTAGGTGTGTGAACTTCAATTTTCAGGATTGTGCAGGCAGCATGATTGTTGCTAAAAACCTATGGAACTGAAATCTATAAATTTGCCCAGGTTGGGAAAGACTAGTCTAAAGTTTCTCTGTGAAGATGCAAATATGTTGTTTTCTTTGCTACAAGCTCCATTTTCTTTTGTATATGCATATAGCCCGAGAACCACCTATGGCCTCCACAAAGGGAAAATGATTAGACAGACCAATGAAATTACTTAATTTAACATGCATGCAATTTAAAAGTAAATATGCCCTTTGGCTTGATAGCAAGTTGAGATGTTCTGTAACAAGCTGCTACTTCAAAATTTCATAAGTGATCAATGATATTGATTTCCCAGTACCTTCCCCAAGTGTCCTGCCCGTCACATGTCAGAGGGCGCAGCTCATCGTAGGGAAAGGCATTTACCAGATAGTTATCATAAGCATGATAAAACATGGACTTGACTCGGTCTCTAAGGAAGAAAAGATACATGTTTAGTAACCTTACTAAACATGACTAATACAAAGCATTGTTTTCCCTCAAAATGCTAGCATGCTTTCAGTGTTTCTAAGTACTTCATACTTAAAGACCAATTCAAATATAAAAGTCTACCACCTTAAATGCACAACATAAAAGCTATATTGTATGTAACAAACAGTGTTTCAAACATGGCTATTCCTTATCATCCTGCTTTCATATCACAAAATTAAGAGTAATGAAGAATTTTTCAGGACTACATTTAAATCAGAGATTCAGAAACAACTGAAATACAAACTGGGTTATTGACAGGATTGCTACTGAAGTGGAAAAGAAAGAAGCCTAAAGAGAAGTTATAAGTCCTCTTTATAGATTTATGCAAATCATCCCTTCATTTAATATATTACAACAAAAATACAATCACAGTTCAAACTGATATATGTATTGGAATGCATACAAGGGGTTGGACAGGATGAAGTATTTCTGTTATATGACATATCTTTTGAATTAAAGAACCTTTGGGGTGAAAGTATTGGTGTCCAGAGTTACTGTTTTAGCTTAATGCTATCTGAAATCTTGAATTCCCCATGCTAAATGTTAATTCTTTGCAGTTAAGTTCACACTACTGAGGTTAAAATTTCATTATCTTTTAGCATCAATACATTTAGTGCACCTTAATTGCTTTTAACTGAGTTCGCAACATTGCTTGTTCAACAAATTATAACAGAGACTCAGTAGGAATAATATGATTTAAAACAGCATGGTTGATGTAATAAGTACCCCTGATTAAGCTTTCCTTAGAATGAATTCAACTTTTAAAATAGTGTCTGCTGCAAGATATATGTATAAAAAGTAGTCGCTTGGATGTGGCAATTCCATTCACAGCAAAAATGAAAATAACCTAATTCCATTCATGAGCCAGAAACCAAGCAATTACCAATATCTACTTCTAGCAAAAAAACAACTCTGGTTTAGTAGGAAGTGCAGGGATTATAAGGTGACAAAAAGGAATGCATTTGTCACTGAACTAAAAATTAGCTTAATATTGGTAGATGGATAACTATATAGCAGTGATGGCGAACCTTTTAGAGACCCAATGCCCAAACTGCAACCCAAAACCCACTTATTTATCAACGGGTGCCGGGTGGGCGTGGCCTCAGTGGTTATGGCAGACTGGGTGGGCGGGGCCAGGATGGCGGGGGCCAGTCCCTCACCATCTCTGGGGCACGGCACGCGTGCCCACAGAGAGGGCTCTGAGTGCCACCTCTGGCACGCGTGCCATAGGTTCGCCACCACTGCTATATAGGTTTATGTGCCGTGGTAAACATAATATTTTACATACCAAACTTTCTCTCCCCAAATCCCAATTTTATTACAGGGAATATTTTTTTTAAAAAAAGAAAGTATACCTTAATAGCATAATAATTTCAATACCAAATCACAGAACTGGAAAAAAAATACTAAGGACATTTTCAAGCAGGAAAAAAAAATACTATGAGCAAATTCTCTTTCAAAGGCCTGCATGAACAAACATGTTTTTGTCATTTAAAATTCCACAAGGGGAATAGCTGTGCTTCTCTCGGGAATGAGTCCCAAAGTTAAGATTCTCTCATGAGAGAGATCTGGTTTTCTTCCTGTATCATGAAATATCAGATATGGGCTGCTGGATGAAAGCAAGAGTTCTAAAACATGCTTTTAACCAGCAAGGAAAAATTAGATTTGCCCATCAGATAGGAAAACACGTTACAATATAATAGAATCTTAGCATTACAGGTAGTCCTTGAGTTATGACCACAATTGAGTCCAAAATTTATGTTGTTAAGTAAAGTGATTTTTGCCCCTTTTTATGACTTTTCTTGCCACAGTTGTTAAGTGAATCATTGCATTTGGTAAGTTAATGATGTGGTTAAGTGAATCTGGATTCCCTATTGACTTTGCTTGTCAGAAGGTCACAAAAGCTGATCACATGACCCCAGGACACTGCAACCGTCATAAATATGGTCCAGTTGCCAAGCATCTGAATTTTGATCACATGACCATGGGGATGCTGCAATGGTCATAAGTATGAAAAATGGTCATAAGTCACTTTTTCAGTGCTGTTGTAACTCTGAATGGTCACTAAATGAACTGTAAGTCGAGGACTACCTGTATAATATCTTTCCTCCTCTTTCTATTTTTTTCTTCCTTTTACCTCAATTTTTAATTGGTAAACCTTATGTCTCAGTCAGTGTCCTGCCAGAAGGCAATGTACTCTAGACAATAAGTTTCAGAAGACAAAATTAGATTTCAGGCCAAAAAAAAAAGTTTTAAGTGAATAGCAGTAGTACGATGAGCTTACTTTCATTGCACTTATAGCCTCCTACAAGCTACCATATGGCAGACTGGGATCTCTATCTGGTTGAATATCTGAAAAGAGCTTTTCCCCAGTTTTTGAAACTTCCTGACAGTTAGAACAATTAACCAGTGGAACAACCTGCCTCCAGAAGTGGTGAATGCTCCAACACTGGAAGTTTTTAAGAAGAAACTGGACAGCCATTTGTCCGAAATGGTATAGGGTTTCCTGCCTGAGCAGGAGGTTGGACTAGATGACCTCCGAGGTCCCTTCCAACTTTATCATTATTACTTACTTAATCAACGGCCCACCCCCTTTTGTAAAGGCATCATACACATTTCTTTGCAACTTCAAAGAAACAACTGGGGCATTTGCAGATCCACTTTGCCCTTCCAACAAGAGGAGCCAAGGAGCTTTACGAGATCAAGTCCTGCCTGCCTGCCTGCCTGCCTTAAAGCCGACGAAAGGGTAACTCAGGGAGACCTGCCTTCCTCGAGACGATCGGGAAGCAGAGCTCCTGGACCCAGGATCCCTGTCCGGCTCACCTATAATAGTTGACGTCAACTTCCTTCCCGGCTGCAAGGGAGGGTTGCCCAGGCAAGTGCAGCACCCACAACAAGAAGCAGCCCAGCGAGTAGAGTGAGCGCTGCATCTACGAAGCGTTCGCTATCGAGGCTCCCGAATACACCGCACCGCAGCCATCCAGAGCACTCATTTCCGGGTTCCGCCTCCGTCCGTAGCCACACCTCTAGCTCTTTTCTGCGCTCCAATCAGGAGCATTGGCGTAATCAGTGCTCGCGTTAGTGACGACGTAGGATGAAAGGATTGGTTGTTCTGTTACTCCGGCAATGCGGCTGCGCGAGAGATATTGTGCTTCTGCTGTTGCTTAGTTTCAGGGTTCCTTGGTGCTCTCTGAGCTTGTTTGTTTTCTTGCAGACGTTTCATTACCCAAACTAGGTAGCATCATCCTTGCTACAATTGATCATGTTACTTAGTTTGGGTAATGAAATATCTGCAAGAAAGCAAACAAGCTCAGAGAGCGCAAAAGACCCCTCATTTCAACCCTCAGCTACAAATTTCTCCTTTATTGGTACTTAGTTTCAGTTGTCCCAAAGGTGCTTTTTTATAGACATTTAGTTTCAGTTGTACCATAGTTCGTTCCTGGGGCGTTTGTAACTGTGCCGGCCTTTGGAATTTGAGTGGAATCAGAATAACCTTGCCTGGACCAGTCTTCTTCAAACTTAGCGAATGGCTGTCAAATTCTGGGAAGTCCATATATTTTGAAGTTGCCAAGCAAATTTGAAAGACACAGGTCTAGATCTGTTTGGTACGATTGTATTGTATGCCACCTGCAGCCACATTTGTGAGAATGGCTATATAAATTAGATTAATAAATAAATATGATAAATTTGGCAGAATTGATGTATTTACATTTGTTTAACGAGGCAGGATGGTTCAGTGGTATTATTTAAAGTTTATAAGAACTCTTGGAAGGGAACTGTATCACTCTGATGGTTAAAAAAAACAGCTGCTTGTCAGATGAAGTGATCTGCAGCTCAGAAAAAAATGTATTCTTTTAATATAATTGGTCAGTTGGAAAAGTTGCTACCAGACTCCGGACTTTTTAACTGCTGGGGAATTATCCAAAGAGAGTAAAAAAGTTGAAGACCCCTAGGGGAATCCACCAGATGATATTCCCAGATGGGGCAAGGGAGCCTCCATATATGCTTGTTGTATTAAGAGAAGCAGAAATAGGGTTGGGTCGCACAGGTAAGGGCACCTCTAAAGCTTGCTGTGAAAAAAAACACAAAGAAAGTGGATGCTGAAAGTGGCATAAGGTCCACTCTTGATTGTTTTGTACCCAAACTAGCCTGCCTCATTTTTAGCTTTGCATGGACAAACCCAGACAGTGGAGTTAAATTACAGTTCTCCATTGTGTGAATCAGAAAAATGGGTTGCTTAAATATACTTCATGTTTTTACTGCAGCAAATAACTCTTGTGTATTGTGTTCCAGTGTTTCAAATCAAAAGAGGACAAATCTCTGCTTTCCTATGCAACATAGGGAAGGATATTTATGTAATAAGTAGGTATGAAGAACAGCATTTTGACTATTAAAATTTTGCTTACTAAAGATCACAAGCATCACCATAATCAGTTGAGGGTCAGTAAGTAAGTAAGCAAATCTTGATTTTGAATTGAGTTGAATCTCAGTCCTGGGATGATAATGAATCTGGAATGCCACCTTTATCTAAATTTATGTCTGCTGATAAGCTACAGATCACTGTACTTCAGTTATCACAACTACTGCTGTCTAGATGTATTGGATCTATTTATAGTACAAATCCCATTCAGCATGGCCTTTTGAAGTCCAAATTATCTGAAATATATCAAGTTTGAGAAAGCTACTATATATATAAACTCTTTGGATAAATGATTGGTGCTTTTGACAGTACTGTATCATATTTGGCTGTGTAGGCGGGCTGCATTCCATATTTTAAACAATTGGGTATACCACGTCATGTGATGTGTTGTGACATATTGTGACTCTTTTTGCATTGCCAGCAATGGGGTGGGCACAGCTTCAGAATGATGAAACTGGCCTGTGGGCCGGCAGTTTGACACCCCTGGCCAGTATATGAAGAGTAATGTATACTGTCCTCATTTTTCATTGTGGGATTTACATGCACACAACCAGGGCTTTTTTTCTCATAGAACGCCCAGAACGGAGTTCCGGCACCTTTTTTGGATGGAACCTTATAGGGTCGGCAAGGCAGGTTGTATGACGTGTGTGAGTTCCGGCACCTTTTTTTTTTTTTTTTTAAGAAAAAAAGCACTGCATACAACTGCAGGTGATATTACAGATGTTTCTTATATCAGATATATCAAGACAGAAAAAGGATGAATATTTAAGATTGCAAAACTCTGGCAATCCAGATATTGTTTGGTTACAACTCCCATTATTCATGGCCCTTGACAAGTCCGTTTCAAAGGTCATCCCAAAGTAGATCTTGCATTAATATATTTATCCCTATCTCTATAAAAAACCACAGAAGTTATGATCATGTGTGATTTTCCATCTTATTTATATGCTGTGAAACTGAATACAAATGGTATTTACTATGAACACTAATGAGGAAGTCAGTGTAAAGTAATTGTATTGTCTGTCTATCTCTTTTTGCTCTTTGTGGTATCATTTTCAGTGGGATGAAAAGCTGACACCAAGAACTTTTTGCTATACCAGTTGACTGTTTCTTATTATTTTCTATATTTCCCTTGTTTTCTTCAAACACTTTCCTATAGCAGGGCGATTTAGCTCACATTCTGTTCCATACTGACCACAAGGAAGCACCACAAACTGATGAAAATATTAATTGTTCACCATTCATTGTATCAGCTACTTTAAGATGTATGGACTTCAACTCCCAGAATTCACCAGCCAAAAATCTACACATCTTAAAGGTGCCAAATTTGAAAAAAAACACCAACCTGGTTTAGATGAATTACACACAGTCCAATTTCCTTGCAGGCTGCATAGGAAAGAGCTCTGAAGCTGGGTAAAATGTTCCTAGCATAAAGTTAGTACTACATGGGAAATATCTACTGTCCATCAAGCCAGAGTCTCTGATACTTTTGATTGCTATTCATTTGCTGCAATTTATTGTAAGGGTGTTCAAAATGTACAAGATGTATTTTTACAAAGGAAAAAGTTGGTCAGCATTGATTCCCCACCCCCACCCCGCCCCACCCCTTTTAATAAGACTGAGATCAGGTGCAAACAAGGAAATAAATTGACTGCAGAGAAGTGGCCTCTTTTCCTGAATTGTAGCTGTGTGTGTGGGGGGGGGGGGGGTAGGCGGTTTTCTCCAAAGGGCACAAATGGAGTTGAGTAAGCAGGGGGAAGAAGGAAAATGGAACAGCACTCTCCCAGAGATATGTATGGCACCCACTCTCTGGAGTTCCAGAAGGCTCATTACACCTGGCTCTGTTCCCAGGCCTGCGGTTAGTGTGGCCCTGGAGCCTCTATTGTGGGGCTGGAGTCTTTATTGTTTTTATTGTCATGGTTGTTTTTGTCCTGCTTGCCTCTTGTGGATTTTTAATTGTTTTTTTTTAAATTCTTTGTAGAATACTATCAGCTGCCCAGAGTCTTCTAGGATCTGGATAGTTGTAATAAATAATAATTACTATGTTTGTTTTAGTTTTGAGGCCCACAATTCTTGATGAATAATCTGCTGCGGTCTTGGCAGGTGGAGACAAAAGTGGTTAGAGACAGTCACTCTAGTTGGCATCCCTTGATCATTCTCCATCCAGCAATCTTGAAGTTAAAAGTCCACACATTTTAAAGTCCCCAAGTCTGAAAAATGATGGACTAAGGTGTTTATCAAAACAGGACCTTTGATGGCCACAAAAAATTGAAAGCATACACATGCCTTTTATTTACTTAATAGCAAGGCATTTAAAGTGAAAAATACAACTTATTTTCAAATGAATGTATTTACTGATTACTTATTTAACATTTGACTGCCTTGGTTTCCTCTAACAGATTATAATCTCTGCCTTAGATTACAGTACACATAAAAAACTACATAACATTTTAAAAGCCAAATTTTGTGAGGTCTAAACTATGGCTTATTTAGCTTATGCTTAAACTGAGCATTGCACAAAAGGCAGCATGAACTTAACAAGTTGCCCACTATTTAAAACATTGTATGAATTAATGATGCACATAATTTAAATGATAATAGTCATAATAGCATTTTTCTAGCTCCAGGAGAATTTGAATTGAAAAAGGAAGGGAGGGATCAACCTTTGCTTTCCATTGACTCTTTAGTGTTACCATTGCTTTTCATATATGGATTTAGTCCTGCTGTTCTATTTCTTAGAGGAAACCAAATGATATTTTATTGTTCTTTGATGTATCCATTCTGTTGTTTAGGTGAGAGACATTTTGCCTGCAGCAACCTTGAAGCTAAAATCTAATTTCTTCCTTGGGGTGCTGTGCCCACTAGGTGTCACTGTCGCTTTATAGAGAAAAATAGTAACACATCCTTCCTGCCAGCTGTCGTTGCAACAACAACAACAAAAAGCCACCAAAATAATTTGGACATATTGTTCATTTGGTGCAGTTGTAATTTAGATTTCTAGGACCATTTATCATAAAGCTGTCTACTTGCCTATTCTGTGGCTCAAGGCTGCTTGAATGTATCTCACTGCATTCCTGGAAGAATCAGAGAATTGAAGCTGATTTCTCTAAAAGCTGTCACAGTGCATTATTGGAGCACATTTTATTAAAGTTCATTTTCAAGACTTAACATTTACAGTGTTCTAGACCATTGTCATTTGCCATACACTGGAACAGTAATTTCTCTATCAGTCAGTTATTGAATTTTAAAAGTTGACCAAAGTATTTTTGAAACACAAAATATGTGACCAGAAAACAAAATGGAAGGACCAAATATCTTCAAAGCAAAAGATATTTTTCAACATTTTTCTGACCTCTAATACTAGCCAGAAGAAAGATTAGGGGCAATTTTAATACACAGAAATTCTTAATCAGTCTGGGAAAAATGTGAAGTAGATATGGTATTGTATGAGGTAGCCTTGCTTATTTAAATGACGTGATTCAAACCCCATAATACATTTGTTTATTTAGCTTAACAAGATGTGTGAACCCACCAAGTGTACTGTAGCTTAGTGTAATATATGAATCATTTTGACT